GAAGATATAGATGGCGACACGACAGGCTCCTCCAAGAGGTAGCCAAGTGGATAGACCAGCAAAGACTTTCCCACAACACTAGTAGGGGCAATGCAAGACCAAGACTCATCAAGTTTGTCAAAGAAGGCAGCAAGGCCCATCAGAAGCCACCTCTGCCTGTACTCCAGCCCAACATTCTTACCAAGGCAACAGACTGGACTTTAAGAACTGACCTCTTCCAAAAACTTGTCTTCCCACAGGATATAGTAGTCACCAAGCTCCGTCCCGACATGCTGCTGATATCACACCTCAGCAGGACCATCGTCATCATCGAGCTCACAGTACACTGGGAAGACCGACTGGAAATATCCCATCAGCTTCAGAAAGCCAAATACCAAGATCTGGTAGACGAGGCCATAACAAGGGGGTGGCATGCAGTGCAGAACCCAATAGAAGTGGGATGCAGGGGGTTCCCAGCCTCCTCGCTGCGCTACCTTCTATCTCAGCTAGGACTAACACCATCCAAGCTGAAGTCGGCAGTTAAGGCAGTAGGTGCCGTGGCAGAGTCCAGCTCACGGTGGCTCTGGCTCAAGAGGAATAACAAGTGGTGTCCTACAGCGAGCGATGTTTAAGACCTTACCATCGCTGCCCCACTCAGATTATGCATACAGGCTAAGGGGCGAAATGTGACGACCTGAGACGCCTGCTGATGACGCAGTAAAGGACACTCACTTAATTTTCCTACGAAGCCATCCACCAGTAGTAGTTCCTTTCTCCGTTTGTAGCGATGCATCGTTGATGTTTATTTGAAAAAATTATATGCTAATACCTAGGGATAAGGGAGTTTTGTTCAAGATCAAGAGCAAATTTTCAAGATGGCCACTATTTATCAAAACATGTTTTGGTCATTGGGATTTGCTAATCCATTGAGTTGCTGTTTTCAAGTTACTTTTAATATTTAAAAATAAAAAAAATGGTGGCCGAAAGTATTCACACGATGGCGAACGGTGAGCCCATAAGGCCTAGTGTGATAGCTACTTTAGATTTAGAGATGTTGGTACGTTTTAATATTTTTTAAATTAGGAGGCCTAGGTATGATTCATGTTGATTCATTTATAAACCACATTCAAAATCTGAGGTTGATTTGTTGATTTTTTAACATAATTAATATTCATTTAGCGTAGAATTTTGGATTGGAAAATTTTTTTAGAGAAAATATTCTAAGAAAGAAAGATTTCGGGTCTGGATGATTGGCTTTTTGTCAGTACAGAATGGGAATGTCGATCAAATGTTTTATTTGAAACCAAATGCAATATGAATGAAGCTGAACTGGAGTCCAGCGAAGAGCTAACCTGTATAGACAATAGCTGCTCCATCTGGGCATGATGTTCTTCCCCATCTGATATACGTAGTCTTCACAGGGGATTTCTCTGCCATTTAGTTACAACCAGCCTGAAATATATATGAACATAACAGGAGCCATGATGATACAAAAAAAACGTTCAAAGAATATTTCCCCAAGTCAATTTTAACATGAGGTGTGTTTTCTGGACTTACAAAATGAGTCAATGTAATGATTTGAGCATTTTAATTCAAAAGGTCTGTTTAGTTGATGAAAGTCTACCTACCTGACACTGATTACTGCCAAGTTTGTAGTAATTCGAAGTTTTGTATGTTTAATTGACAGTCTACCTACCTGACACTGATTGCAGCACTTGGAACAACATTCCTCCCCAATGGAGTACGTAACAAAGCAACATACAGCCAAAATAACCAAACTGCAAGTGATGCTAACCCTCATCTTCTAATTGCTTCTTGTGTTGGTGCAGAAGTTTGAATTTTAGGTATGTTAGTCTCAGTTGGCGATAACTACTATTCTAATTTATTTTTCCAGGTTTTTATTAAAAACACCAATGTATGGAATTTAATATTTTATGACATTAATTAAATTGAATAATAAAAGGCATTGTTGTGAATTATGATTCCAACTGCTGCGTCATCATGAGATGGCAAGGTGAGTTCGTCCATCCTTAATCTGTTGTTGCTTTGGGTTACTCTACTCTTGCAAATAATTTTGAGGTGTTATTGCTAGAGTATGGTATATCTGGTAATAAGTAAACAGTACAGTGGTAAACATTACTGTAGTAAACAATACAGTAGTAACAGTACTGTAGAGGCAGCAATGCAGGCAATCAACACTTAATAACAATTCTTATGTTCAAACCTCCAATAAATTGTGTGGTGAGATTTATTTCCAATTCCATCTGAGATCTTGCCTGAATTTTTAGTCATAAATCCTGTGTTCATGCAGCCCCATGTAAATGTAACATAATGTTACACTTTTTTTATTTTTTTTATGGATTTTTATTTCAGTTCAAGCAGTACATTCAATACATATTTAAGTTTACTCATTTTACAATAGTGTCTGTGGGTAAGAGGGTATCACACATACATCTGCTTCTAAAAATTGAACTCTTTGCAAGCAAAGCCTAAAACAGACGTGTTTGACGTTTCCCTAAACATTAAGCATATTACAATAGTATGAAAAGTACACAACATGGAAAGCATGAAGCATTATAAACTTGTAGTACATGTAATTACAATAAATCTTTAATATCCTCCCATTTATCTCCCCTTCCTACTTTTACATCTATTAAATAATATTCTTCTATGTTTCTCTTCAGTCCCAGAAAGGTTGGACGCACCTTTAGACATTTACATAAATATATATATCTCCTGTATATGGATAAAATTGTATTTATCAATATTGTTTCACTATTTATAATTACAGGTCCTAAAGTGATTGCAGTTTTGTCACATAAATCAGAAAGCTTTTTAGGAAGCCACTTTTTGATATCTTGAATTACCATTTCAACAACTTCGCACGTTAAAAACAGGTGCACCAGGGTCTCTATGTGTCTACTGCAAAAACAGCATTTATCGGATTCCTTAATACCACACATCTTTAAGTATTTATTTGTCGGTAGAAATCTGTGTATTACTTTATAAATTGTGTGGTGAAATTTATTTCCAATTCCATCTGAGATCTTGCCTGAATATTTAGTCATAAATCCTGTGTTCATGCAGCCCCATGTAAATGTAACATAATGTTACACTTTCTGTTGTCTGGAAACCGCACACAGAATGCTATGTAGAGGCATACGCTACTGTTGTATTATATTATACAGTGCGTATCAAAAAAACGCAACAGATTGTTATCTCGAAAAAGCACAAAACCAGTGATAACAGCATTGAATTCATTCAATGCACCATAACGCCATATATCTCCGCTTTACAATGATATATCATTCATTGATATTTGGTCATGGTTGGGCGAGTAATCATTCCATTTGCAAAGTGGGCCAAAATTAGCTTGGGGCCAAGTTATAAACATCGCAAAAGTCAGTGTACGGAGGCTGATGCAATATTGGAAGAAAACATAGAACCAATGCTGACTGCATCCTTTTCATTCAATGTACCAAAAAGCCAAATTACTCCTCTTTGCAATGGAATATCATTCATTCACAGGGAGTCATCTCTGGCCGAATAATCATTAATTTTGCAAAGTGGGGCAAAATTCAGCTCGGACCCAAGTTTTAAACATTGCAAAAAGTCAGTACAAGGGGCATAGGGGCTATTGGAAAAAGGTGTGGCATAGACAGTAAAGTGTTCATACTCATACTCTTGCAAGAATACATCCTATACCCCTCCAAATTGCCATCACTTCCTTGCACATAAAGATGCGCTCATCTGTCCACGTCATGCATGGTTTAGCCCTGAGTCATCTGTGGGTTAAAGCAGAGAAAAGCAGCCCAGGGCAATTCTTTCTCGAGGTTTTTTCAATATCTGGTGGAGAAATTGTGAGCACAGATGCTCCTGAGATAGCTCCAAAGGAAAAAGTCACAACAATTCAAGTAAGAGGAACTTCCATTGGCACTTAGCCCTTGCACTGATTTTTTCAATATCTAAAACTTGGCGCAGAACCGATTTTGACCCACTGTGCAAATGGAAGGATTTCTCACCCAACCATTATCACATGTAAATGAATGACATACCATTGCAAAGAGGAGAGCTGTGACTTTATGGTACATTGAATGAAATTGATGTAGTCATCACTAATTTTGTGATTTAACGAGATAACTACTTGTTGCGTTTTTTTGATACGCCCTGTATAGTAGTCATAAATACAAAATGAAATTATAAAATTTAAATAATTGTCTGTTTATTTACTTATACGTAGCCTAATCCTTAGCAATTCGACTTATTCCCATAATGCCTTGCCATAGTAACATAATTTGAAATTATTCTGTTGATATACTCGATACTTACATGTAACTTTCAATAATTGCTAATTGTTAAAAAGGCCAAGTTACCTATACTATTTATTTATTTATTCATTCATTTATTTAAGTGTCACCTATTTAAGATAGCCAGCCCTACCTGAGCTTATGAGACACATTTTACATAAGTTACATATAACAATACAAATATATAATAAAATTAGTGCAGTTCAGTTCAACATTATTATTGATTTTTATTTTTAAATAAAACTTTTTTCCTTATATAGAATATTTTTTGCAAATACTTTCCAAAGCATTTAATATATTTTTTATTTTCAAAGATATCTTTAAAGGAATTGTTTTTGATTTCTTGAAGAAAAGACTTTCTAGCTTCTGAATAATATGAACACTCAAATACAAAATGGCTTTCATTTTCAATTTCATTTGAGTTACAAATTTGGCACTGTCTTTGGTTTACTGGAGTTTTCGGTTGAGTAAATCTCCCCGTTTCTATTGCTAAAGGAAGAATACCAGTTCTTAACTGAGCTATTAAAGAGCGTTCACCCCTTGTCAATGATGATGTAAGTAAATGCCGGACTAAATGCCGGACTGTCGACAGTAAGACAATAATTGCAGATTGTTACAAAAGTGTAACAACTGTTACAGATGCTGAATCTCTTATGCTATTTGTTAAACGTTGGAGGCTGTAATACTATGTCACAACTTATTGGTGATGACATAAAAACGGCCACTTAACAATGCACCATATTTATAGTGATAATTATTTTATTCACTTTGGATTGCATACATTGTATATCATATGTTTAAGATGTGCAGACCACACACGTCAACTCTGCCCCATCTTTGTAGTTTGGACAAGGTAAGGACCCACAAGATGCTTCCACAGCATAAAACAAGGCACCATTCTTATTAGCCCCACTACCTGGTACTGCCTCTGGTGCTGCATCCATGCATTCAAATGTCCTTCTGCTGTGTTTTGGATGCTCTGATACAAGGTAACCAGTGTATTCGAAATGCCATGCATCTGGACATGTCTTCCAAGCTGGGATCATGATAGATGTTGAGCGAGGCACTGAACAAACAGCACATGGTACATCTCTTTCGGAAAGTGATTCTCTGTCTCCAGGGGTGGGTGCATTGTCACCATCAAAAGGGTTCGAATGTCCACTGGCTGTTCCAACCTGATATTCAGCTCCATACATTAAAGCAGAATGTGTACTTTTTGCTGTGTACCTTCCCCACTGTGGGGTTGTAGGGAGGCATTGGTAGTTGGAACCACCTCCTGTTTCTGTGTAATAGGAGCCCCCAGCTATACCTAAAATGGATTGATTTACGACTTGTTTAACATGTTTTATATAAGCAGAAACGGGCACAGACCACAGAGACATTGGTGGCTATGGACCAGTTACATTAGACTGTGTTGGCTCACCTTTCGCCACCGTGTGAATACTTTGGTGCAGACTGCGGGGCACGGCATGGGCACGCGATGGGCAAAACAAATAGTTTTATAGCAAGATAGATTCAAGATTCAAGATTTTATTGTGTTTCAAAAACAATTGACTTCCTCACAAAACCAATTACAAGACATACAGTTATACAGTAAAATGCATTGTTTAGCAAATATTTATAACTATCTTACAAACTAATTTATTCCTTTTCCAAATAGCTCCCGATGTTGATTGAAAAGTTTATTTAAAAATTGTTTAAATTCGTTTTCAATTTTATAATCATCTGAAATTTCATCCGACATATTGTTAAATGAATCAATAAAACTTAGATTGTTAAAAAATCATATCTGCAATCTTTATAACAATCGCATAAAAGAAGAAAATGCTTTTCATCTTCCACTTCCCCCTCATAGCAAATTTTAACCAGTTTTCATATAATTTCCTAGTTTTCTATTTTCTCTTATTAAAATACACGAAGACCTAGTCCATGTAGCGGCCTAGCGGGCCATGTTGTCGTCGATCAGTGATTGAATCTCAGCCTACATGGCGTTCATTTGAATTCAGCGATCGTTTCAACGTTTTTTGTTGGAATCTTCTTACCTCCGGTTATCCGATCGATGCTCCGGCATCCACTAAACTCTGATTGATATTTATCTGATAAAATATTTGTATTTACCATTATATTCTATATATTTTCTTTGAATTTCAAGTTCAATTGCTTTAAAAGATTTTTATTCCAAACGTACTTTTCAAAAATATGTCCAAAATTAAAATACTTTAATAACAGGATCTTAAGAGGTTCTGGACAAATCATTTGATTCTGGACTTGTCATATTTTTTTTTCAACGAAATCACATCCAAGGGTTGAATTTTTATTAGCTATTTAGAGAGTGAGTCCTGCCTAGTATTAATTTCAATAAAAAAGTTAAAATAGAACCCTATTTGAGAGTCAATCTAATACTAACATTACATTGATAAATTAAGGCAAATCCTGAAATATTTTTAAAGTGCATTTTTTTATGAAATATTATCCAGCAAGTATTTAGATGAAACGGTCTTATTTAAATACAAATCATAACATGATGATATTTTTCATTAAACATTTTTCAATGAAATTCAATTGAAGGGTCAAGATAAAACGAGCTAATTTAGGTGAAAACCCTTACATGATGATGTGTTTTCATAACTTCTTTCATAAAATTCCATCAAGGGGTGAAGATAAAATTATCGAATTTAAGTGATTAAGGATCACGAGGATATGTTTTCTTTGATATTTTCTATGAAATCCCATCCAATGGTCAAGGTAAAATTTTGATTTTGATTTGGTATTAGGTCACGTCTTCGAAAGATCCATATAAGGCCCATAGAACCATATAGGAACGTCATTTTGAATGTCACGTGATAGATCCATATAAGGCTTTTAGAACCATGTATGGAAAGATGAGGGGAAGCCCCTGACACCTGTTTCACGATTTTATCCGAACGTTGTTCGGATCATTTCGGTTTTTATGCACTTCATTATTGTACCGAAGTTTGCCGATTCGATTCGTCGTATTTCGGAATCCTGGTGACAATTTTATACTCCATTGGAGTATTTTTGACCTACTTCTTATGACGGAAATTCCCGAACCTTGTTCGGATTAATCCGGATTTTCTGACCTACTTTATCTACCGAGATTTCACGAGTTAACATTCGTCTCATTCCGGAATCCTGGTGACAATTTTATACTCCATTGGAGTATTTTTGATCTACTTTTTCTGGATTTTGCCCTACTTATTATATCTTGACAACAAGCAAATCAAAATGTTCGACATGAACGGGTCTCGATCAACTAACCTAGACAATGGAAGCCAGGCACGCTAACCATGAGACCAACGAGCTACCGATATGAAAGAACAAAAGTATTATATATTCATACTGAGCGTCAATTCAAAATGATCCTCACTTAAATACGACTCGTCAGTTGTATCCAGAATAGTAGAACGCCTATGGCGCTAGTGAATAACCAAGTCCCAGGTGAGTGGTTCGTATCCCTCCGTTATATACTATTTTTGTTTTATTAAATACGACAGAAAGGAGCAAGGTGTAGGTTGAAAACAAGACGTTCGTTTGTTTCAAAACAGTTTGGAAACATTAATCTCTGATAATTTAAGGTTTTCCACTCCTGAAGGGCCTCTAGATCTATGAAATTCAATAATCAAGACTGTGTAAAATTTTTAGATATATGTAATACGTTTTCATACTTTAGCCTGTGGAATCAACTAAATATTACATTTTGGATTTCATTGATATCCTGTCATAGTCCTAATTTTTTTTTGAGACATTATTTTTTCAACACTGATACAAATTTCCCTGACATTTCCCTGACATATCTACCGTTTCAAAATTCCCGGTCATCTTTGGCCCTTTTGACCTAATTTTAAAATTACCTGACATTTCCAGCACTTGGAAAATCAAGTAAGTCAATTTCCCTGACATTTCCAGGTGTGTACGAACCCTGGAAATATCCCAATGGCTCGCCCTATGAATCGCTAGCACAGATTGGATTGATTAGTGTTTCAAAATGGTGGACGAAGTGTTTGATTAGATAATTTACATATTAAGCTTCTGAAAGGGGCAACAAGGCCTGTACATAGAAAATTCGAAATTTTTTACATTTTCTGAATTTTTAGGGCAACATTTGGCTTAACATCTTTTTTTATACATTTTTTCTTAAAATGTATGGATAAACAATAAAATTTCAGCATTAAGCAGTGCAAATTCAGTTCAAAGCTTCTATAAAGGGAGTCCAACTTATAGATTTTGAAAATCCGACTCGTTTAAAGAAGAATATCAGCAGCTTAAATCATACAAAATGGATGGAGGGGCGATTTAGGCGATTTCTGCAAGAAAACTCAACAAATTTGGAAGATTTATTTTTTTCAAGATATTTACAACTGAATTGCCAAATGAATAGGCGCAGTGCATGGCAAAATATGTAAGGTCTTCTAGTATTTTTTGAACTGATACGCTTCTAAGATATGAGATCTACAGTTGGGGACAAAAATAAATGACAGGTCGATTTTCGATCGCCATTTCCTAATTATGGTGGTCTGAAAGCCCATGATTTCCAATATTGTCTAGATACATATCCCTTAAAATTTGTATATTTTACATTTTGTATAATCTCATCCACTGATTTATGGCCTCTTGTAAATTCTCTTATTTTTAACATGGGAAATCCTCACTTCAGCAAATCCACCTGTCATTTATTTATGTCCCCAACTGTATTATAAAAGGTGCATCATCATCATCATCATCAACGTGCAAAAGTCAATGTTTTGCTATAAATCAGGCAACAATGGTCTTCACGACCTGTAATAAATAGGTATGAGGGGCGTTATCAGAGAATTTTCGTTATAAGTTTTTAAAAACTGATACGTATACTTATACTTATAAACCCAATAAACAAGGTGTTTCATAATTTCCTAATTCGTCGGGAAATATCTCCTAGGACGGTAATAAAAGGGCCAATGGCATACCATCCATACCCCCTTGATGTAAAGCATGTTTAGTTGTGTCATATGTGTTTTCTAGAATCAAATAGGCTGATATAGCACACGGGTTTTACAGATTTATCTACTCTCAAATATATTTTTTGTAGATGATCGTTTTGAATCACCTTGTAGAAATAACGAAGGGAGAATTAGTTCAGCTAATGAATAAGTCGAGCTGTTTGATTGGATACTATGCCTATTCAGCCGATTAATTTTAATAAGCCATTCTGGTCAGTAGGTCCACACATATACTATGCGGAGATCCAACTCTGTAAGTTTATAATCTGCGTTTAAAGGCCCTTTATACGTAAAAACTTAATAATTGACCTTATAATTTCATGAGAACTTTGAAATGATCGACTCGTTCGTGTAGTGATTCACTTTAAAGGGTCTTGTTTATCGTACACTACAAGGACCCGTCAACTAGCGTTTAGTTTATCGTGTTCATAATTGACACTAGCAAAGGACATTGTATTCGCAGTCCCTAGTTGATGATGGAGCTTGACTATATCGGGAATAGTTATGCCCCACTTGGTACAGATTATGAAAATCAATTTGAATTGATTTTAGTTCGACAAGACCCTTTAAACTATAAGTATACGTATAAGATTTTGAAACAACTTATAACGAAAATTCTCTATTATCACAACACTGACATTGCTCACTTTTTAAAGTTGTTTCAATGCGTTATATGTAAATGGGCGTGTGGAAGGCCCGTGGGTGGCAATAAAATAACTCGAACTTCAAATTAAAATATATATAAAATAGTATATTTCAAACTTCAATGTTCAAAATACAATGCTCTGTAATGTACAACATGAACTCTTACAACACCTACTGACAAGCCAACACCCAATGCAAACTCAGCTACATGTGAGTTAGAAAGACCATATAAGGGAACAATAGATATATAAAACTGACACAGTTTGCATAGTTGAATAACTGCTTTCAATAAAAGGTGAAAAGTGAACATGGTATTAAAAGAGTAAAACTGCAAACAACCTACTTATGGACCTGTTATATTGAGATGAATAGGGATTAATATGAACAGTAATAATATAAAATGTGAAAATGACCATGTTACATATACAAAAAATAACCCCATGTGAAATATCTATTCTTGTATTGCATTTTCGTTCACTGGATATATTTTAATTTGCATTGCTATTAGATACATATTAAGGGTGATATGAAAATTGAACCACGAAAACAGATGTACTTTAAGTTAAAGGGAACTTTCTACCATACCCGCCATGCTATCTGACCCGAACGAGCCACCTTGTGGTGAGATTGGTAACTACCTGCTCGCATCTGCGTTATTACGCAGAAA